TGATATAACAGGGATGGTGGGAGTAGAGAAAATGTCCTGTTACAGTGGAAACATGATATAACAGGGATGGTGGGAGTAGAGAAAAATGTCCTGTTGTATCCGATCCCTGTTAAAATAAATCAAAAATGCGAGGAAAGTAAGCATTTGTCGACTTATCCAGCTGCACTTATTCATGGGTAGTTTCCCTTGCCCCAAGTACCCACGAACAAGGGTGTTGGCACCAACTTTCTCCTTGCCTCCTTAAACCAGCATCTGCATCGGGTAGTCTCATCTTCTTTCGATCCAGAGCAAACTTTCCATTGGAGTGTGCTGACACTATCTTCTCTCTATTCTTGATAATGGCGTGAATTGACCTTTGTGGAATGTCGAACTGACGACAAATCTCTGCCAGTGGAGCTTGCTTTTTGTCAACAGCCTGGATTATTTCGTATTTTTTTGTCAATTGAAAGGCATTTTCTCTTGCGCTTGACATCGTTGGTGACACATTACTCGTGCGTGTAGCTACATGTAGGTTTCGGCCTAGATCGAGGTCTGTAGCACACTGCAGCCCTCTCTCGCTTCACACGCTGCGTGTGCTTGCAGTGGACTGGCTTGCGTGGGCTTGCTCCATCACTGCTTTACTCTCTCTCTCTCTCTCTCTCTCTCTCCCCCTCTCTCTCTCTCCCTGTGTGTGTGTACCGCTCGCCTTCTATTTTTCTTTGTTTGTCTCTGTCTTTCTTTCTCCCCACCTATTTCCCACTCTATCTTTCTTTCATTCCCTCCTGCCAACTGGGGCATGTCACATTTTGATAGCACCTCTCTCTCTCTCTCTCTCTCACACACACACACACACAGTCACGCACACACTCTCTAGATTTCTTCCAGGTCTGGGCGCTGAAACTTCCCGAAATCACAAAAGAGCTCCCCTACCGGGTCTGTATACTTCGTGACTTTGTTCCCAGTTACCGGGTCTGTATACACTTCGTTCTAAAAAAAACTTTTTTCCCCTTCTTTATCTTTGTAAGTAAAATACTGCTATAACGCAATCAGACAAACATGTGAGTCGGTTATAGCGGAATATTGCTGCTGCTGTGCACAGCGCATAGGCCATTTAACACCTCGCAAGTTGAGAAACTTGTTGGTTATATAGCAAAACAAAGTGGGAGAGCGCTCGCGTGCCAACAATGAAGGCCGGAGCGAATGAATGGGGTGAGTGTGGCATGCACAGACAAGCTAGATTATCTAGGCCTACCATGCCTCTCACTTCTCCGATGCAAGGATGTCATAGTGCTGTACTGTGATGGACGGAGCGAATATGTGACGTGGGCGGGGTGTGGTATATTCCCATTGTGCGCAAGCAGACGGGACGCACCACATGGTGTGGTGGGGTGAGAGACAACACAGCGGGTGTGTTAGCCTAGTGAACTTTCTTTCTGATTGCCAACACCGAGCTGTCAACATCGCTAGCGCTAGAGAAATGAACCTGATTCGATCAAGTAAGAATTAAAGGTCATGTTAAACCAAATCATCATCAGGGGAGAGAATGAATTACAAAAAGAAATAACTGTAAACCAGACTCGTAGATTGGGCCTACTTTACTATTTCCCTTGAATTTATTTCTGGATCCCTTATAACGAGAATCCTGCTATAATGGACGTTTGGCACTGGTCCTCTCCCTCTCGTTATAACAGGATTCCACTGTATAAAAAAAAACCAAATATTTATTTTATTCATTTCGAAAAGCTAATACTTGTAAAAAAAAACCTTGCCATTTCAGATGCGAAAGGGATAGTATTACATGTACTAGTTTCTACATAGGTAGCCTTTGTGTTTCCAAAACACTATATTATTTTACCTAGACTTATTTATTTTATTCGCCTCTGACAAAATGGGGCCAAAACAAACACGAGTCAGTGTGCCATGAGCGTGGATGAGCAGAGGAAAGAATAAAGCATAACTTGTTCAAGTATCTTTCCTTTCGAGACCTTGGAATTATTTCCTTTCAGACACATAGTAAATGGAACCCCCATACAAAAAGCTTTTTAACGACAACTGATATGATGCACATGTTTTTCACGTAATATGTGTTCTATTCTAATTCTGAGTCTTAAGGCTTAAGAACTGCTGGAGAGATGACAGCATTCTGGATTATCTGTGACAAAACATCCCCAAGGGAGAGTAGTGAAGATGTAATGTTGAGTTTACAGTGTTTCGACCGCAATACTTGTGTTAATATTACAAATCCTGAGCAAGTTTTCATCTCTTGGTCACATGCTTCAAGTCCAAAGTACACATTTTAGTGTGTTGCACTTCTTTCCTTTCTCAGTACATTTCTTTTTATCCTCTGTATTAACCGTAACCCACACTACATACGTTTCTGGTGGTTAGATATTTTTTTTTAGAGTGGGCTCAGGTGTCACTTACCCCTTTCACTTCCACTGTCACTACTAATGTCTTTATTACAAAGGACTGAGAAAATCCCTTTTCTGGACTGCTTACGGCAGATCAACCCAGCTGACTGGTAGTGGTAGGTTGAAGCACTGCCTGGCCCAACACACTTCATCATGCACTTCAATCTTCTATTCCTTCCTTGAGTATTTCTTCAAATGTGAACAAAGTCATCAGGACTTGTATGACTGACCATGTAAGAAGAAGCAAAAATACTCGGTCTGCTCGAACTTCTGACAAAATGCTGGAAGTATTGCATTTGCACTGTCCTGCCTCCATCTACAACAACTGAGGGTCTCATTTAAGCTTGAGATTTGATATTCCATTCTCATGAACACTGATGAGTAAAATAAGGTAACTAAAAATAATATTTCTTCATTCATTCCTGTTACAGAGGTCATAAATAGTTTAAAGCAGGCTTTTAAACCTGAAATAGATGAATGTATTAGCATAAATTTTTATCAAATTCATGGTTCTATTTTTCTCGTATTGCCATTGCGCTAGCGAAAGTGCACATCTCATTTTTTCTATTTTAAGATAATGGAAAAAACTGTTTAACTAGATTATTTATCATCTAATAAACAAAAGCTAGTTACATTGTGGCACAACCCTGAATTGTGCCTTTTTGCTAGCGCAGTGACCATATGATCTAGGATATTGTCCCTTTTCTTTCATGCAGTCATCAGCTGTTTTCCTAAGCACATATTATATTCTTTCTTTCATTCAGTTTTCGGTAGAGGTCAGCTCATGTTGCTCCTACCATCAATCTGGACATTGTCTGGATAGGTGTAAGTTTTGAATTTCTTGACAATTTGCAATAGGCAGGACATCTTGGTGGAATCAGAACTGCTACCTTCACCTCTGAGGCTGTTGAGTCTTCCACATTTAAAAAAGAATAGGTCTCACATGGCGTCAGTTGTGTTTGCAAATTTAAAGCAAATCTGTACTGTATGATGATATCTTGAGAACACACTTATAATCAGATATCAGTTCGTATCAAGCTGGACTGCAGAGCAAATGTTCCTGGTTCTAATTCCCAAAATGGGGTTATGAACTTCAGATTTTTTTGTTTTGGTGTTTTATGGCGCTCGCAACTACATAAGGTCATATGAGTATAAGTGCACATGACACATTAAACATTTTCAGTTTGGAAGGAAATAATTTTGAATTTTGCACGTGTGCAACTTGAACACATGACCTCCGAAATTCCTTATCGGAGAAGGCTAAGTGTTAGATCTCAGTTTCCCAAAGATCAGGGGCATGGCTAAAAAACAGCAGTAAAAAGCCAAGGAGTAGCAGTAGAAAGGCTGCAGATAGAGTTGGGAACCCAGAAGAGCTGATGAAGGGGGGTGGGGTGGAGTTGAAAGCAAACGACATAACTTTGTTAGAGAGCAGGAAAGGAGGTGAAAGGAAAAAATAGAGAAGAAAATTTTTCGTCACTGTCAGGTTTCGAACCCGGGACCTATTGATGAGTAAGAGGCGAACACCATAGCCTTAAGACCACGAGAGCCCGCAGGGAGTATTTAAGGCTCTCCCCCCGATTTGATTTTGTTCTATCAGGGATCTTACACAGCCTGAAAGTTTTGAAAGGGGCGTTGCACAAAACAATGGATGAATAACCAGTTTGAGCCAGGAACAGACTGAGACAACAGCAACACTGAATGGAAGTGATAGGAGCCAACCAAAATCAGAACACCCTCCACCAGTGCTCGCCTAGAAAAAAAAAAGATAAAAGTAGCATTTGTACACCAGTAAATGCTGTTGACACTGAACCATTAATTTCTGAATGACAAAAAAAAGTTTACATTATGATGGAAAACTGGGAGGAGAAATTAATTTACCCGTTACCAATAGTACCATTATTACTTTATTATGATATAAAACAAATTAAAGACAATAAAGTTTGAATAACTTAGATTTTTATTCATCGAAAAAATAATAATGAAATGAATTACACAAGGCTGTCAAAGCCCAATGGAAATTCAAAACTTCAAAACATTCTTCCTCTTCATCAAAATCAAACCACAGACACCCATAGATCTGAGATGACTCACAAGACTTTGACTTTGACCATGTGAAACATGGCGTTCGTTTTAAAGATTAAAAGGAAAAAATAAAAGGAGGTATTCAAGAGACATTAGCAAGAGTTTGATTACTGAACAATAGTAAATCTGTAAGACAACATAATATGGCAAGCTCATACCTATAGCCAGAGATTCACAAACTAAGCCTATGCACTTAACCTGAGTAAATCTTTCGACAGACACTGAGAGAAAAGCTCCCAGCACTAAAAATCTTGGCTGATGGCTCCTGTGTTGATGAAGGAAGCACACAATCAATGGTATAGTGCACTGTACCCTAACTGTGTGAACTCTTCACAAAATCAATATCAATGTACCGGTATTTAACAAAATCTTTCGAATAAAGTCTCGATCACTGATAAATCTGTATCAATGTGGATGACAAACACTAACTTAAGACACTAAAAAAAAGGAAAATAAAAGTTTCACTTCAGATTTATGCAGTGGTATCATGTAAAAGCAGATTTTTCTTCCAATACATGTCTAGGCACTAAAATCTAATTCCCAGACAAAATAAACTTGCCAGCAGATAAATCGTTTCCAATTTCCACCTACACTTTTATTTTGACAAAGCTTTATGCACAGTACAAACTCAGCATATATACAAACATTGGATTTATCAGCGGCTTTCCCATATATATAAGAGAAAGACTGATCAGCATGAGACTCACTAAAACTGCCATTCCACCGCACCAAACTGCATCTGCCAAGTACCATGCCAAACACACAAGCAGATAAGCTGTTACTGTTAACTAAATCCAATCACACTTGTTCAAAAGAGGGATTGACACTGTTTTACAAACTCTTAGACTTCCACTCTTTATTAGAGACGGCAACTTCATTTTATGTGCTGGTTTTGCACTCTTCACAGACAGCAGGAAAACAGCTCTTCCTGCAAACAAACTACCCACTCCACACATCAAGTGGTCAATCACTTCGCAAAACATACAGCCTCTTAAAATCACATGCAATAGAAAATGTTACGGATACAATCAGAACAAAGTGTTTAAAAAAGCTTACAGTTGCACCTCTACATAATGCAGTACCAACATGTGTTCATTTCTTTCTATGCATGAAAGAAAGCATCATAAGCCCCAATTCCATTCACTCTGAGATATTCAAGATCAGAGTTCCACAGCAAACAACACAATCACTTCTTTGAGAGCAAAATTACTCATACATAGCCATTTTCACATTTTTCTACTCCTATCCATCTATAGGTAAAAATCAAAATTTAAGGGCACACAAAGGAAAGAATGGAAACAGTTGGCACTTTTGTTTGATCCTATTGTAAATGTTTCTCAAACAATTCTTACCAAGTAATTCTGAAAATATACACATAAAAAACCCCAACTTTGTTTACTTTTTATTTTTTTATAGTACCGGTATAATACTAATGGAGATAGTGATAGAACAATAAAGTTCATTTTTTAAAGAATCAATATGTGAGGCATTATGGCGAAATCAGGCGCTCTTCAAAATTATGAAATTGAAGAAACTGACAGTTTTCTGCCTGTTGGCAATTTTAATCAAATTTTTGTTTTTTGGCTTAACCCATTGTTCCAATTAAGAACACATTTCTGGGCAGATTTTACTGACTAATGACACTAAAAAGTACGTTTTCAGTTTCCACAGACTGTTCAAGCTACGGACACATCCAAACTTTGGCAGCCATTTTCTCACTAATTCTACCTTTGAAACCAGGCGACCCCACCTTCTTCAATCTCATATATCTTGATTTCTATTCAAGATAGATCATTTTTTTCGCCAAAAGCAAGACACCAGAACAATTCTTAAGATGATACCCATAACTCAACATGTCTAAAAATTGACGAGCGCCTGATTCCACCACGCTGTGACACATATATACTGAAGTTGAAGCTTGAGTGGTACTGGACGGCAGAAAGTACACTTTAATAGAAACCAGGTCAAGTTCATACTTGAACAGTAGAAAACCCACAAATGGTTTAGTAACACAAAATGAGACGACAAAATAAAAAAAAATTAAATTAAAAAGATTAAGTAAAACACAGAGAATACAGGCTTCTTAATACAGGTATTACACAATTATTTTCTTGGACCATCTACACAACTGGGTCACCAATTTCAATTTTTTTTAAAAAGAGAACCCTTGCAAATGTCTACCATTTAGCACCAGCATCCGTTCAGCTGTCATTTATGAAGACCACGATAGCAAGGAGAGGCGTGCTAATGTTTTACATGGCTCAAGCAAAAATAAAAGTCCTTGCAATTAAACATAAAAAGTCCATTTCAAATCAACAGTAATATCAGGTCGACAAGACAAGCACTTGTTTACCAAATTCTGACCCCACCTCAGTATCTGCCTTCCTTCCCCCCCCCCCCCCCAAATTTTATTTTCGATTTGGAAAAAAACAACCCCCCACCCCACCCTAAAGACAGCCAATAAGAACTTTATCTTGTTGACTTGTTTCTACTTGCACCAGAATAGAACAGTGGATGGTTAACTTTTGTTAAAGCAAGTGCCAGGAGGTATGTCGTTTCTCATTTTTTGCTCACTAAAAAAAAAATCAATGAATAAGAGCACACCATACCATCCCGAAACTATGTTAATTCTTTCTTCTTTTGACTAAAAAAAAGTATTAAAAACCATAATCCTTAGAAGGAAAATGAAAGAGAAAAAAATCATTTTCATAACTAAGCACATATCACATGTATGTGAAAATATTCACATCCAAATGTTGTAGCATCCTGTCGACACTGCTAACTGTATCACTATCATTGTAAAACCAGTCCAACCTGAAAAGAAAACAAGTAAAGAAAATATTATCCTCTTGTTTGTGTAAACAATTAGTGAAAATCAAAGAAACACCAAACAGTAGGTACCAGAAACTAAATTTTCAAAGTAGGTGTATGCCAAATTTATCAGTTCCATTTGAAAGGCCTATATCCACTGAGCATTTTGGTACCATTCTTTAACCTCTCAGTCAATTTTTAAGGAAATGGTAGTTGATTAAAATTTTATCATATTTGTTAAAGTCAGTCACTGGCTGCAACCCCGTGTTTGACAGACAATAAAAGAGTACCAAGAGCACTAAACATCTCCACATTAACAGAGTACAATCACTAAAACAAATATATGGAGCCTAATTTTTTTCAAGACTGTGAGATCATTACAAACCAGTACTTTATCGCCTCAAACACGATATCTGTCGTTATTTCGACAAAAACACCGAGCGTTGACCCGGCCGGCGCCGCACCAGGCCCCGCGGCGAGCGAGTCGGCTCTATACTGTAGTGTACCCCGCGTCACATGTTTTCGGAGTCTCGCGGAAGGATTGATGAAAAATAATTCCAAGCAGATTACTTATTTCTAATAGAAAATAAGTTGATCTTTCATTAGGTATATCTTTTAAGCCGGTATTTTACATATTATGGGTAAAAAGTGATCTTTAAACATTTTGACAGTATTTTTAAAAGCTCTCTATTTAGACGCCAAAGGCAAAACACATACCGCGGGAAAGCCCGTTTAAAGCTCTACAGTTCTCCGCCAATGAAAAGACGGTATTTAATCATTCCCCGTTCTGCGAAGCATTTGAATGCACTCGTGTCAATTTTTCAACCGGCCGACCACGCATTCCGACCGCGAGGGGCTTTACTTTTGTCAGCGATTCTCCAGCTCCTACTAATCGGACATAAAAACAACTTACACCATTGTAACGAGGAAAAGCTGAACTTTTAAAAAGTGTACGGCACTTGGTGTTTTATAGCGAAAGAGCAAAGAAACAGCGATGGGAATTACCCCGATTTCACCGATACCACGCGGTCGGAAGGCCGCGAGTGCCCGCGAGGCCATGTTTACGCTACCTACAAACAGGCCATTTGATACTGCAGAGACAAAATTTCAGATTTTGACCTTAAAAATTCCACTATTTCTACAGCAACTACTCAGCATCAGGCTCCCTTGCAGGATCCTCATTTTGATGGTTACCTCTGATGCCGCCTCATCACTGATCTCAATCTCTCTGTTGTTTGCCTTACAGAAAGCTTACTTTGTTCTTTGGGTCCTGTCCCAGGTGTTTTTTACCAGTGATTTTCCATTCTCCGCCTTTCTTACGTACTAGGCACATCACGAAAATGCGCAATTTTTAGCGCCGTGCCGCACCATGTATGTCACGGAAGTTGGCAAAATTTGCCGCTCCTGGTTGCCTACATGACGTTACATGTAAGTCACTCTAATAACCTGGCTCTAATTTTTCTGTACGCAGTTTTAGCCACAAGCCCTGCATAGATTCATATTTTGGAATGAAAGATGAGAGCATCAGTACCAAATTTGCTAGTACTATTTAACTGCTAGGCTTGCAAGCGATCGATTAATACAGGTCTAGGCTTGCGGGCGGCCCCGTGCTCTCATAATGACTTTAAAAAGGCAAATAAATTCACTTTTTCACTTAGTTTTGCAGGTTATTTGAAATCATGAGTAAAATGGGAGGAGGTGGGGAATTTATAAGAAAAGTGACAATCGCAGACCCAGTGTCCGAAATATATCACGAGAGCGCTAATCTAGATAGAGCATCCATTAAATCCTGAGAAACGAACTCAGCTGAAAGTCAGTGCTGACAATAGGAACACAAACCCCCTGGCAAAGAAAGAATTAGTGGTGAAAAAAATTCCATCATTTCCATGTCTCCGGGTCTTCGTCTGAATAGCCCTACCCTCCGAAAATCTTCGTTACCAAACGCTTCCAGTGTGACAATCCATCAATGGACCCTGTTGTCGTCTTCCCATAGGATTGTTAATGAATTGCCCTTAGTGTAAAAAAAAGAATAAAATTTTCTAATGAGAAAAGAACACCGAATGCGAACATGTAAATTTCCTTTTATGTCTGAACACTATTTAGTAGGAAAAATGGCATGCATTTGACACGAAATCAACTCTTCGCCTCGCTCATGCAAACTGTTCCAGTGCGCAAACTCGCATTGTTGGTCTACCCACTCTGAGCTTAAAATAAACTAATTAAGGAACTTAGGAAAATTTCACTGTATTTTAAACAAAATTCAATATGGCTGACCTGGTTTGTTTCCATATGGGGGCACCTCCAGTTGTAGAGATAATACTGCAGAAAGCCATCGCCCACACCAAACTTTAGTTTCTCTAGGAAATCTTTGTTGTCCATAAGATCCAAGGCATTAAAGACATCAAATCCCATCTGAAATAATAAAGGGCAGCAATTGCTTCACTGGACTTGGTGAAAGAAAGACATATTTCAAATTTAAAACCAACTTGCATCCTAAGTACATTAAACACTCAAGTCAAAACGTCATCTTTATAAAAACATTTTAAAACTTGAGCACACCCCCCTCCCCCTCCCCCAAAAGTGGACACAAACAGTTCCACTGGTGGTGTCCCAATACATAACATTTATATTTTCAATCCAACAAGACAGTTATCGAAAAGCAAAACACAAATTTCTGAGGTGTATGTAGTTTGCATAACAAATTGCTTTGGAGCCTGGGTTTTTTGGGTTTCTTTTTTTAATTTTAATGTTTCTGCACCTTGCACTATTAAGCTTCTTTTTAGTCAAATATTGCCCAATTGGCTTAATTTAAAATATACAAATAAATACACTTACATTTTTCGCCACAATGAGAGTATCTTGCATAAGATCTACCCAAGGCGTCTTTGTGCTAGCGTTGTAGAAAGAGTAGGCAGCTCGTAAAGACTTGTGATTTGGGTGGTGCATAATGGTTGATGGAAGAGAGTAGAAGCTCACAAAGTCGGTCAACTTGCCATTGCTCTGAGGGGAAAAAAATTGACATGAACGCTATAACATATGGGGCTCACGTTTGATAAAAAGGTCACTCACTCATTGTAACGATCTTGTCCGAAGTAGTCTCCAGATTCTTTTGATGGCATAACTGCACAATGCTTAATGTTACACTACACGTTGACACTTTAACAGGCATTATTCAGGGGCATCCCAAAGAGAGAATGGCCATTTTCTGACCTGTCGTATCCAGCAGTTATTGCCAGATTTACCAACTTTGTTCTCCTCTGCATTGTTGAGATAGATGTACTTTCTTTCAAGATACTGGGTACCAGTATCCTTAGCTTTCAGTGCTCACATCCTATATAAGTTGCCTTCTGAGTGCGAGTCTGAGGAGCATACTTACAGTAACTCACTCACTGCTGGAGTCTTGACTCAAATCAATAGACTGCTTGCCAAAGTGAAAGGGGGGAGGGGGTTCTCTTTTTTAAAACAAACCACACTTTCTGCCGAATCAATTCTTCGGGGCAGAAAGTTTGGTTTATCAGTCAGAAAACTATTTCAAAAGATGCCAAAGACACAATACATTAAATGCTTTAAACAAATTTGATACAAAATACGATTTAAAAAAACATTTTCTTTCTGGTCTTATAGTGCACTATCCAATAGAAGTTCACCAAGACCATAGAGCAATTTACAATAAGGATAGTAAGATACAATAAGGAGAGTACTAAGCTCTAAACTTCCTCAATAGGTCATAACCTAAGACGCCAAAGACACAATACATTAAATGCTTTATACAAATTTGATACAAAATATGATTTTAAAAAACATTTTCTTTCTGGTCTTATGGTGCACTATCCACAATAGAAGTTCACCAGGACCATAAAACAACTTACAATAAGGATAGTAAGACATAATAAGGAGAGTAATAAACTTTAAACTTCCTCAATAGGTCATAACCTTACCAACACATTTCAAAACCCAACTGCACGATAACTTCAGCCAAAAGTCATATCAATCTCTGCGAAAGGAACTAACCTCAACAACAAAGCTATTGATTATGCCGGGCCGAGGGATGAACCAGTGACGAAATTCTTCCTCCGAGAACAACGGGATGAGTTTGTAGCGCAGCATGAACTGAAACAAGACAACAATAGAAAAAGACAAGTTAGAAAGCATCTTCATAACAAACAGGAAACATTATTTATCTATTAATGATTTATGGTCTGCCTCCACATCTTTCTGAAAACAATGTTGCCAATCAGCAATCAACTTTTAAAATCAAATCCTGTTTCTATTTTCATCACTCATTTTTTCTGAAGACAAAAATAAAAGCAACTTATCCTTTTTTTAAAATATTACAATAAAATTCAGACCAATGTGGAACATATTTTAGACTTCACAGTCAAAACATTGTCCAATTCAACGTATCACAAGATTAGTTCAGTGTCCATTTATCATCACATATTAAAGCTTAAACACATTTCCGGTGAATAATTCAAATGACATAAGTAATATAATACTATCAAGCAGAGTGAAAGCTGAACCTTCAAGCAGAGTGAAAGTTGAACGGGTCCATCCTGGCAAAGAAAACTTCATTTTTCTACTTATCAGAGCATGTACTGACAATGTCTTTCCTTTGGAGCATATCAAGGAAGTCAAGATCAGAAGGCAGGGAAGTAGTGCTAGGGCAATTTACTCCTCTGTCTTCAGACAAGGCAAAGCTGTATCAGGCATACTGCTATAACCCAGGAGAAACCAGGACTTAAAATAGCTGCGTCTTGAATCTAACCTGGGAGAAACCTGGAGTGAACTCAATGGAGTCGTTGGTCAACGCGGGAGAAACCAGGACAGCACACCTCCTTGCATTCTATTTAACTTTAAACCACAATGAGTGACTTCCTGCATCTAAAAAAAGTCATGATGACATCTAGGATATTATGGGATGCCTCAGGTCTAAATTTCCGGTAAACAAGCTAGGGGAAAACCCTTTGTGCCTCTTTCAAAACACCTGTGTTTCGGTCTTCGTGACTCTGATGATTTGCTGTTCCGACAGACGCTACCTCAACAGGGGATTAAGAAAGCACTTATTGTTTAGTTATCACAACATATCGGATCTTCAAGTTGCAGAATTGTATGGGATTGGTAAACAAGCTGGGGCAGAACACTCTGGACGTCTAACAAAACACTCTTGTTCCGCGACTCTGGCGATCGGCTGTTCCGACCGACGATCTCCCACAGATGGACTGTTCAATTGTCATGACAACTTTTTAAAGTTGCGGACTGCATGGTTTATTTTTAATATATTTTTTTCCTGAACTACCCTATCAGATCTTCCAGCAGCTGATGTCATTTTTCGAGGATTTTTGGGTCCAGAGCAGCGCCCCGACAGGGAGTAGAAGGGGGACTCCTTACGTTGGAGACTTTTATGTTTCAGGGAAACCAAAATGTGCCATTTCTAGCTATTCAAGCCTAAATTTAACAAGAAAAAAAGTGAGAAAAAAACATACCTTGCATACATAATTTTCTGCTTGTGTTAACCCATATAAATCCAATGCCATGCTTTCTCCCTTGTACCGGTACTGTACATGCATAATAGTAGTAACAGCTAGATCTATATAACTTAACAGTTAATGTCAACTTTTTTCTGCTTGTGTTGGTTTGCACTATAATGAGTAGAATCCATATTATCCAAGGGCATGCTCTTCTCCCTTGTACTGTTGTACACCCATAATAATATAACAGCTAGATCTAAATAACTTAACAGCTTATGTTCAACTTAAATCCACAACAATATTTACAAATAAACAAGTCTGATAAAAAAATTAAGCTCTCCTCAGAGATTTCCTTTCTTGGCAGGCCCAAGGTCTATTAATCCACATTTCTTCCTCTTGTTTACAGTGCTGGTGCTCTGCTGGTACTTTAAGAAGTGAAAGTGAAAGACACTGTCCACACTTTCATAAAAAAGAGCACTTTTAGTATAGGTTGGCTATTGTTGACTATTAGTAATAATGGAAAATTGTTATTTCGCAATTAAAAAAATTATTTTTTAAAGTTATTTTTTAGCATGATTTTCACGGAAATTTTTCCATTAACAGAAAACTGGAAGCACTGCCTATACAGAGGTGCTCCAGGGCAAAATAATTGTAAACACACAGGCTGCATCAACTGGACAGGAAGTGGGACAGTATAGCAAACATGGCCAGTTGGTTATCTGCCTTCTTGAGGGTTAAGATTGTCTGTCAAGGTGCAAAAAGTCACCATTTATCAGAAATAATATGGTGTAAAGTATCTCGCACTTGACGAATAAGTAGATCATATATTACTTTCAGGAAAATGGGCACTAAGAGCGCTTCAGCAAAATAAAATTAATGCAAAACCGAAAAAGCACCTCTGTAATGACTTTTCAATAGCAGCACCAACTTGATAAGCTCCTTTTTTTCTTTTGGAGGAACAACACTTCAGAACCAAGAAAATCACCAAATATTTGCCTCTGCTTCGGCTAAATGCAACATTTTTAAAGCAAAAAGGACGCAGTGCTAAAGTTATAAGCATTCATTCAATACCATAGAGGGAAAAAAAAGCAGCACATAAGTCATAAGTGTACCTGTGAGAGCAGCTTGAATGCTTCCGGCACATCAGCAGGTGTTAACTCTCTAAATCCTGGAGTTTTGGGACTCTACAGAGGAATAAATGATAGAAACATTACAATTCAAACTTTAGAAAAACCATCAAGGCTGGATCCAGATAAAAAATGTAAAATTATTGATCTTTATTTTCAAAATCATGCAAAAAAAACAAGACAAATGACAGCCCAGGCAAATCAATACAAAAGTAAAGAGGCATATATTGAAAGAACCTACATTTTTCTGCCTTTTGAGCGATTTTAATCTTTTTTTTTCCTCAATACCTTGTATATCCATTTAAAAACACATTTCTGTGGATTTTACTGAAAAACATTGATCAAAGGCAAAAGAAGGGTGAATTTTCAGTTTCTAAGGGCACTCAAGCCTCGTGAAGCCACCAACCTTTGGAGGCCATTTTCTAGCTCCATTTCACCTCTTACACCAGGTGTGACCCCCACCTCCTTCAAACACAAATACCTCAACTTCTATTCAAGTTAGATGAATAGTTTATACATCATATGCAAGACAAATGAACAAGCTTAAAGATGATACCAATTAGTCTGTCCAAAAAAGATGAGCACCTGATTCCACCTTGTGTTGACACAAATGATTAGCAATTCATCTCTCTTACAATACAAGGTTCTCTCTAATGATATATCATTACTACAATATCTTCTTACATCTGGAAGCTTGTACAGCTTCAAAGTTCTCTGCATTGTCATGTTCCGACTCAGGTGAGAGAACTTCACCTCGATCAGCTTTCTAGGATTCAAAGATCTGTGCCAGTATCTGAAAGTATATTAGCAAATAATCTCCATTACAAGGGCTGAACAGAACAAATTGAATGTAGGAATACATAAGGAATACTACAAACAAAAAGTCTATACAGTATGACATAAAAATCATGTAACAAAAATGGACTGCTCAGTTGACTTGTACTTGTTTGAAAATATTTATAACATAACAATACAGAAAACAACATGAAAATATAGACACAGGCTGCAGCTGTTATTAATTTAGAAGCCAGTTTCAAGCCTTTTTAAAACATGCCTGTTTCAGAAGGTTACGGTCTGGATTTTCAGAAGGTATGTCAAGAGCATAAGGAAAAAAGCATCCCCATGTTCCATGTCTGGCAACTCCACAAAATAATCTCTGTACATACAAAGAAGCACAGAGTGAAGCCAGAGAAAACATAAGAAGAGATCCAGCGACAGAAGGCCATGCATCCCTTACCTGCATGAGGCCACTGGTTTCGGTAGCACCACACCAGCTGTGTACACTGCTTGGAAAAGACCTTGCTGGTGGACACGCCGTGTTATCTCCTTGATCAGTACAGGGGCTACACGTTTAGCACGCAGTTTTTTGTGAACACAAAGGAAGTTGATCTCAACCATTTTCTTTGATCTATAAAACAAAAGAGAAAAATTCAAAGAAACATATTAAATATCAAAATGGGAAAAAACCCGACACACTCATTAGATATATTTCAAAGTTATTTTATCCTACGCAAAAATAAAAGAGATCAATATAAAGTAAAAGCAACAAAATTTTTTTTAAAAAGGGGAATCCAGTTAAAACTAACACGAACAACATTCGCAATTGCCTTAATTAAAGACTCAATGGTTTTTCTCATAATACCTGTCATATATTTTGATATGTGCGGGAACTGCACTGATGAAGCCCACCAACTTCTTGCTCTTCACAACCCGCACTCCACAATGCCACTCTCTTAACCAGCCTGGTGGTTGAAGGGCCCTGAGGAAACGAGATTATTTGCTTGAACAAAACAATTTGACTGAGCGTCTACAACAATCAACACAAAAAGGTATTAAATCAAATACAAAAAAACCTCAAAAACCAACCCATCCAAAACAAACAAAAAAACACAAAAAAAAACTGATGACAAAAGGAAAACATAACCAGGGTGAACAATGCTGTCACAACTTAAATCTGAGGCACTACGTGTAGCGAGAACAAGAAAATATGAAAAATTTATTGGACTGAATTATGTAAATTCATCACCAAGCACCATTAAAATGTGCATCTCTAGAACCGTGGCATTTCATATTCTTTCATTTACACTATCACTATAAAAAGTAAAGTACATACCATTGTAGAAATTCAGGAGAGTAGTCAAAACGAAACATATTATCATCATCTTCAACATAGTTTTCGTTGAGCAATGTATACAGTTCTTTCAGCTGAAAAGAAGTGAAAAGGCTTTTATTGAGACCAGTGACCCATTAGTGTGTGCACACATCAAAATCCAAAGGACTACTAAGCTTTTTTTAAGTTCCAGACTAGCAGTGGTGCAAAGGCACAAAATACAACAAGTTAAAAACTGCAACTACACATTCATTATACAATACATAGTCTGAATTTGTTACGTCTTAGGTAATATGTCGATTTTACAGTGAACACTGACAAAAAACAAACCACCCACTGCGTGGATATTTCATTAAGCTTTATAAGGCATCATTGCTTCATTAATTATACAAAGTAAACGGACCCTCCGTCTATGGCACTTCTTTTGCTTTGCGTTTCATCACAGCTTATATACTTTACAACCCTCCCCTCTGTTATAGACAACCCCAGAATTAGACAGTTCCTTGACATATAAAACAGTTTTCTCCAGACTTTACAAGTTCTAGTCAATCACCTGCAGTAGCAAGCAAAATTTGTTTCTCTTCCTCTTTAGATGTTCAAGGTTATCATCAGTTCATGATAAACAAACTAGTATCATCAATAGTTGAGCCATGCTCCACAAAGCTTTGAGCGTCAGTTGTTACCAAGAATAGCGTACACATGAGTAACTTACAATAAGAGGCTCGCTTATGTCCAGAGTGTCCCATGTAAACCCCCCTGGGAGAGAGAGTGGCTCCTGGCGAATCTCCTCAGGAGTTTTGTCTGCTTCGATCTCTTCATTCACTTTGATATCGTCATCTATTCGGACAGTGTCAAAACCACAAATTATGAGTTTCACCTCAAGATACACAATAGTTACCTATCATCAAAGGCTATTTTTCAGAAAGTTAGAAAGCTACATTACATGTAACAACTTAGCAAATAAGGCATTTCTTCAGTACCATGTCAGGCTTCTTAGCAGCATATACCCAATATCAGGGTGATAAAGGCAAATGATCGTGTTGTCAGGCTTCCCATAAATTTCAGCAAAACTCTCCAAAAAAACAACAACGCCCCTATCAACACTATTAGGTTATTTAAGGGGTGGGACCTCCTAGTTTAACATAGGACCGAGCCAAGTGGGAAGTTTGTGTAAAGTGCCTTTCCCAAGGACACAACGTCGGACCGAGCTGAGGCTCGAACCCCCGAACTCGCAATCTCACGATTACGAGTCCGGTAGCCTAACCACTAGGCTACAGACGCCAAAGAAGGCCCAGTTCAATAAGCTGCAAAAGTGATGTAAAACTTATAGCAAGACAACCAATCATCTTATAGTTACCTGTCCCAAACTTTGGTACTGGTTGTGTTTCCCAAAACTGAAATTTCTTTTTTTTTGCTTCATCCATGCTTTTCGGGGCTGCTTGCGGCATAGCTAACATCTCCAAAGCATTCTGAATCTGAGAGAGGTGCTTGATCTACAGAAGAGAGGGGAAAAACATTGATGGAAAATGTCACAACATGCATGAAAATCTAATAGACAAATTAACCAGTTCAAATAGCCCCTTGAATTTGGCCTGCAAGTTCCGACTACATTTTCTTTATTCAGAAAATGTTTCTAGCAATAGCAACATTGTTGCTACCTTACTCCCCAGGCCCCAAATCGTAACCATAGAGTTTCAAGTCGCGGTCTCTCTATCCCAGGCCAAAATAACTTCCCTTCTAGCTTGACCCCGTTTGACTTGAAATTGCTTGTTTAGCCATACTTCTCCATGGATAAAAGTAAAATTTGTTGTGGATAAAACAAGCCAGTGAGCCAATTCAATTGAGGTATTTCAATCAATATTAAATATACAACCCTTTTCATAATACATCATATCTTGAACAGAAAGAGAATACTTTCCCCATTCCTAAATAACAATGTGAACAAAAGTAATCTGTGCCGTTACTTCAATAGAAAGGATAAAATTAACACAAGACTAGAGTCGTTTTATTTCTAAAAGAACTCGTTTGAAGCTTTATGTTAACCACTAAAGAAGCTTTAGTTCATACAAAACATTAAAAAATTAAACAGAAAACTCAAACCATCGCAAAAATGCATCTACATAATCTGTAATAACCTGAACATCTGGTCCACCCTTAGAGTCAGTCCCATCCGCTGCATTCTCCGGTGAATGGCTGTCAGTCTTTGAATCATGTGACTCCTGACTCTCTGAATCAGCTTCAACTCCCGAGTGAGACAAAGAAACATTATCATGAACTTCTAACAAGTTCGTTTCCACAGTCTCTGGTCCTTGGTTGTCAGAGTCCCCACTTGATCTTTCCACATCTTTCGTCTTCCTCTTCTTTTTCTTACTTTTCTTTCTCAAGGATGGATCAACACTTGAAAGAAAATAAAAACAGTATGGAAAAGAAAATTCAATAGTCATGGTAGACATATAAAAGTAGCTTAAGAAATCCCCTCTAAAAGCAATTGAGTACCAATTTGGTCATAAAATCCAGTAAAAAAAACCCTCACCTTTTAACATAATCTTTAAAATTTTACTTTGCTATTAATGGGCTTTCACTTTAAAAAGTAAAGACAGACATTTGATAAACAGGAACATTGACAAAACAATGATGCTGGCACAAAAAATAGTGATGGAGAAGGGTCAGTAAGTAACAACAAAAAAATAAAATTAAAATAAGAGGGTTCCAGTAAAGAAAACTGGCATTAGAACTGCTGACCAATTCAGCAAGCTTGACTAAACTTCAAAAGAAAAGTATCACATGACCTTCCCATTAAACAGATAGGAGATAACTGAAGGAACATATATAGAGTATAGAGAGTTAGAAATACATTATTGATGGAATCTACTCATAAGTTGGCCCAATCCCTATCCTCAACAATTTCTATGTTTTATTCCACCAGTATTTCGTGCAGATACACTTTATGAAGCTGTGGGTATAACTTTAGCATAAACATGTCCTCAAAAAGGGTTCTATAAAAAAATAGAACTGTAAACAACTCAGTTAAGCTTAACCCATTTAGCACTTTTGAAGACAATTCTCACAAAACACCCGCCGTTTCTTTATGAAGCAAATTTTTATCCCCTACTTTTCCTGCAACTTTTTCACACAAATAGGAAATCTTTTTTTTTCTTTTTTTAAAAATTGGGTTCAGAGTTTTCCTTGCACAACTGAAGTTAAAATATAGTCGAACCTGTCTTAACGGAAACCTAACATTAAACGGAATCGATTCCCATCCCCCCTTAACTCTTATCCTGCGTCTGTGCCCAGATGCGTATCTTATCAGCAACCGATTACGTCGGACGTGCCGGGCAGGCCGTCGGGGTCACTCAGTGTGTAGTGTTGGTGTGCAGCGCGCGCGTGCGCCGGGAAACGTGTGTTTTCGACATGAATACCGCGGGAGTGTGTTAACCGATGATGAAAATAATGTTCTATCTTTCATAGCTTTCTATTTATAAAGTGTTACAAACACATGAATAACCCCCTCTCACAAGCCGATAAGACATTACGAGTAGTTACGCCCATTCGAATAACCTTTCTGGACGCTCTTGTTGTTATGAATGACCTGAGGTTCGAAAGGGGATAATTTAAGTCAATTTCCGAATGTTTTACACTCAAATTGTTCTTCGTACCTGCACAATGGTATTCAAAACTATCAAACAAGCTTATTTTTTATCAGGTAGTATCATTTCATACAAAATCAAGCTCATTTGAAATATTTTGTATAGAAAAATGGAAGTCTTGTTTCCTGACTATCCTTTCGAGCTCCTCATGTCTAAGTGGGTCAATTTCTTCTATAATTTCATTGGACGAACATCTAGAGCTACCAACTTGGCATGTTTTGAATGAGACGTATGCCTCTATTACGAACCAACGCAGGCAGTTCAAGAAGAAGGCCGCAAACGCACACAAACTCAAGCAGACTGATGCACACACACTTGACCTGCGTGAATGGGGATCCGACTCAGGACCCGAATGACACGTAAGAGGATGCGCGCTGCACGTGCGCTGAGCCAGGGGCTACACTGATTCGGGACCAGAACGTAGGCGAGGTGCCGAAATAGGCTTATCGGGCGACGTAAACCTGGCTCCCGCAGGATGAGGGTTAATACATTCCTCAATAATTACCCCTATAGAACAGAAACCTTTCCAACATGGAAACGGAAAGAGAAATTCCTTCCTTCCGAAGGGTCTTGACCTGTCTCGAGACAGAAAATACCTTTCCAACTCAAACCTATTTTAAACGAAACTCCCAGAGAGGCCCACTTGCCAGGATAGACTTTAGGGAGATGAGCCAAACATTTTGAGGGAGAAATGAAAAAAAACAAACAGGGGAGATTTCAAAATGTCCTGGTTTCGTAAGTATTATTACTAGTACACTAAAAATTTAAACCCAAAAAAAATGAGATTATAATGCATAAAATTCTTATTACCAATATTATCTAAAGCTCTTGATAGCTGTATCTCGTATTGCAACTACGGGCCTAACTTCACAGATTAGCTACTCTGTAACTAGCCTCCTATATTCCCATAAACAAAAGACCGCTCCATTACATTTATGGTATTATTTTTCTTGATTACTAGAAAGATCCAGTAAAATTGGGGGAAAAAGGAAAATTGGGAGATTGGGGCACTGGGGCCAGCGGGAGATTGACTCAATTTTCAAGAGTTTCCCGCCATAATTGGGAGGATTGGCATCTCTGGAAACTCCGAAGTTTAGTTCAATTGGCTTTAATTTTTATGCCACACCACCAGGTGAGGAAGGTGGGGAAGGGTGCAGTTTAGGGGTGTGAAATTTGATTACTTGCCTTCTTTCTTCATCATATGGATAGGTGACAAAAAAAGTTCCACAAATCATTGTGCTACAAGTAGCAAAGGGGTGGCATTCACTGATTGTGCTTTTATTGCATCAATGGGTGGGGCTTATGGGTGGAAACAAGACGCTCGAAGGTTGGTTTTAATCATGGGCCTAGGTAGAACAGTTCAGCAGTCCCATGACATGCAAAAGCTGGTGGCAGTGGATTAGCAAGACTGTTCATGCCATTATCAGAGCGACTAGGATAGCACTTGGAAGGTGTGAAGTTTTGACCATCAATTGCCGACCGGACAGACAACAATAGATCCTACAGTGTACAGCTACACCCCCCCCCCCCCCCCCCCCATTCCTCTGTCCAAATTAGAAATTCTTTGCCTCGGACGGGTCCCGTGCAATTTTGTCTTAGACAGGTTTGATTGTACCCAAACTGTCTTGTCTGTGTTCTATGCAATTTCCATCGTTTATCTTCCCTTCTGCAATTGGCATAAATTTTTTCACAATCACGATAAAGTGATACTATTCAATTCTGTCGAAGGAGCCAAAAAATTTGTGAAGATAGATGAAGTTTTTTTTAATAATTTTTTTTTCAAATTTACCCTCAACCCTACTGGTTCAGTCAAAAATTGCTCAGCACAGCAGGAAGGTACATGATAAGATAAGTTTATGCCCAGCACTGAATTTGGTAAATTTTTACTTTTAGACTCGCGAACAGATGCACTGTTTTGGGGGCTAAACTGCCATGATTTGGCATAATTTTTACTACAAAGCACACATTCACATATAATACATGGCCATTAAAACCCTTGCAAATCAATTGTTTTCATGTAAATATCAAACCTAATTTAAAAACATCAAATTATTGTGAAATACAGGAGAGGAGATATGCCCCCCCCCCCCGAAACCCCATATTTTTTAAAAAGCAAGTCAAATACTATGCAGTTGGTTCTTTTATAGTTCATGATGTAAAAATTTTTTATTTTTTTTAGTAGAAGTTTTACAGCACTCACTGCATAAGGTCATACGAGCGCCAGAAGATTAGAAGAGTTACAAGAGAGTAACAAACATAAAAAAGAAGAAGGGGAGATAAGGACGACAGATGTCTGATAGGAAAGAAGTTAGCAAACCAAACCAGAGCACCCGCCAACCACCCACTGATGTAAAAATACATGCATCCCATGAACTAATAAATTTGCGGTAGATATAAAGACATTTTAATTCTTGTAAAGCAGATAAAAAGCAACAAAAAAGGTGCTTAAGAATATCTGAGCGTCAGATGGGTCCATGAGTAAAACACAGTAGTCTCCCCCTAAGATCCCACCGCTTCTGATCCCGGTGTTTTAAGAAAACAGAATTTTTACAATACTAAAGTCACCCCAAAGAACCTGCTCTGAAGGGCTACATTCGTCTAGAAGATTCTGAATTTCAGATTATCACTTACGGAACAAAAATCTGGGTGGGCATAGCAGATCAACCAAGAGTGAAATTTTACAATCACCGAACTGCTCATTGCGTTAAAGATCAGCCACTCTCATGAATGTAGCAATGCCAATCGGGCTTTCCAGCGCGGCAAAAATCTGGTCCCCGTTTGCGGGTGAATTTTTGGACCGGGTCGTGGCGTAGGTTATTTAGCTTCTCAACCTCGGTCCGCTCTATTTCTGGACCAATTTGAATTAAACTTGGCAACCAATCAGAAAACAGGACGAACTAATGATATGTGGACGTTGAAGTTCGTACACATAAATTAACCTATATTTTTGTTGTCGGGAACACTTTCGTATCGGGTGTACCGAAAACTGAAAGGAGCTTGAATTTCAAAGCCGAGATGGTAATAGATCTATCTATCCCTATAGTGTGCTCAAATTTGAACGTTCAGTGTCGAGTAGTTGTTTAGACCCGATCATAAAAGCACGATTATCCCCCTATCCAAAGCGGCTTCGCACGGAGACCGGCCATTTTCCCCTCACTCTCGCGGCAAATGTATGTGACCTACAAATCCCTGAAAGACTATTCCAGGCCTGTTCATTGGTCACTTGAAATAGGCAATGACGGGTGCGCGCATGCTAGATTGAACGGCATGCTAGATTTAATTAACTAATCTTTTAAGGTTGGCATAGTCTAAAGTCATCAAAGAAAGCTTTGCCATTATTTAGTCATGCTGCCAACATATTCTTAAAGCTCCCATGTTGTGATACGATGCTATAAATAAAATGGACTCATCCCGACATCTTTTTCGCAAAATCGTAATATGTACACCAAAATTTAAATTTTATAACAAAATAACTACGAAATGATCAGTAAGTCTGACGGTAGAAATGATTTCTTCACCCAAAAACACATAGGGTAGCCAACTTTCTCTCTAACACTCCAATTAATTCCCGAGATATCGTCGATTATCTTACAGAATCTCCTACCGCGTGGTCCACTGCTTAGAAGTATTTTCCTATATGTGGGTCATCCATATTTTGCCGACCTTTACAACCCAATTACTTTTTTATTTATGAACCGCTTCTTAAAATTCTTAGAATTGAACATTCTCTCTTTGGTACCCAAAAAAAAAAAACCCGGTTATGTGAGCGAAAAATTAAATTTTCATTGGCATTGCAACGGGAATGTGACCACATGTGAATTGCAAATCTCCAGGAAATAGTACAAAGTTTGCCTCAGCCTCAGACGGGATCAAACGAAGGTGTGAACTCGCCAAAGCGTTTGTTCCCCAAACATCCCTTTCGCATCTGAGCTATCCACCTAAACTTTTTTTTTTAAAATTTAGTAGAGGTTTTACAGCACTCACAACTGCAAAACCACCTAAACTTACATCACATACTGGGTGGGCAGGGCCTACAAGTTCGCTTCAGTAAGGATCATATTGAACTGTGAACTCGTCCCTGACCTTTTCAGCAGTCGTCTCCCGAATTTGACAGACGAATTATAATTGGTGTGGTAACAACACAATGATGCATAAACGACAAAGGTGGGAGAATTCAGTTGGAGATGGAAAGCTATAAATTTTGGAAGAGGCTAGCCGTATTTCATGACGGCTAGACTGGCAGTCTAGCCGTACTTAAGTACGGCTCGACTGGTTGGCTAGCGGCATTTAAGTTTAAGTACGGCTAGGCAGCGGGGCTAGCCGCACTTATTCTTAATATGGATAGACTGACCATAAAAAAAAATAGGCTTACTGAATTGTAAATTTTATATAAAATTTTAGTTTGCAGTACCTAAAGTATATTTGTATTTGAGACAAAACCAGGTGTCCTAATGACTGCATGTATTTTAAACCTCCTGTTTTCTAATGTTAATGGGGCCTAAGATAAGTACGGCTAGACTGGCAGTCTTGGCTAGCCATACTTAAGTACGGGTAGACAGCCAGGCTAGCCGTACTTAAGGACGACTAGACTGTCAGGCTAGCCGCACTTAATATTGATGGCTGAATTGTAAATGAAATATTTAGTTTGCAAGTATTTGTATTTCAGACAAAACCAAAAGGTGCCTTACTGACTTGCATGTATTTGAACCTGAATAATCACTGGATCTAGATCTATATTGAGACCTGTGTACTTTACGGGTTTGAGTCAATTGGGCCAAACCGAGATCTAAGTACGGTTAAACTGGCAGTCTAGTATATTTTTGACAGGTGGGGGGGGGGGGGGGGGGGGGCACGCAACTGGATAAGTGTAGATCTTGAGACACAGAAAAGGATAAAAGTGAAAATGACACAAGCCTCATGCCACGCACGGTGCTTGGTCATCAAGGTTGACGCCACTCTTTGCTCGCCATGAATTAGGGCCTAGTCATAAACCTACTCAGGGGACGTCAGTTAAGAGGAAGAACATTTAATCAGTTGTGAGTCTCAACATGGGGGTCACCGTGGATTCTTCCCTTTCTTTGAGTGTCAGGTAGGATCCTGTTCGCCTAAGATCCCGCATTTTCCTTCACCCCGAGCACCAGGACCTTAAGCGGAGGAAAGTGGCTATTCTCACCCGCCCGGAAGTTCTCGCAAGATCAACTCCTCCCCTCTTCTCTCTCTCTCTCTTTCTGAATACTGTCTATCGGTGTGGACGATCAAATTGACCAAAACAAAGTTTAAAAATGATGTTAAAACACAAAAGTAAATTAATTTGGTTGTCTACAAAGATGCTACGGCTATTTAACTTTTCGAATCGAGCCGAACTACGTGGGTCGCCATTTTGTTTTGCCCGGAAATTCTCGCGCTACTCCTCTCTCTCTTTCTCTCTCCACTGCCCACAGACAAAATTGTACGCTTTTAGTAGGCTACAGTTTAATGGAACGTTTGTTCACGGCACAGAATTCTACAATTTTTCTGTTATCACAGTGTAGAATTCTGTGGTTTAGGGTGAACGCGCACCGGGTGAGAATAGCCACAAGACTCGCCTGCACTATTCTCACTCCGGGTGAGAATAGAGGTGGCCTAAGCGGAGACTACAGTAACAGTAACAGGCCTACCCTGAATTTATCAAAATTCTCTGCCTCACAACCTTTAGATAGGTTGTACCCAAAGCTTAGACCTCTCTGCCTCAGCTTGGTCTTGGACTTTGGCATGATGAAGAATCATTATATCAAATTGTGGCCTAAAATCTAAAATTAAAAATTAGTAAAATCCTAAAATTCCAAAACTTGAAAAAAAGTCTGTTGCTAACATGTTGCTCCCAACAGCAACCAACTACATGCGATTAAAAGTAGAAATGATGCAAACTATTTTTAGGTAAGGCGCCCATCTTGTTTGACGTCAGACCAGGATACCCCTCCGATCACGTGACTACATCTAAGTATAGACAACCGCATGGCACCAAAGATGGAAGTGTCTATGTATATTATGCTTAATCTACACAAATTTCTCGGAATTTCTGATAGCTGATTTGATAGCGCGTCTGCGTTTGATGTCGAGCAATGGCTTTTGGAGAGGTTCGATTCCGGTCCCGGACAGTTTTTTTTTCTCATTTCCTCCTCCCGACTGACCAACAGTTCCATAAATTATAGGCCTAATTTGTAGAGTTGCTTTGACTTTGAAGTTGTTGTTTATTTTAAAAAATGTATTAGTGATTAAAAATGTAGGAGGGGGGGGGGTGGTAGATCTAAATTTAGATCTAGATCTAGATCTAAATTTAGATATCTAGATCTAGATCTAGATCTAGATCTAGATCTAATCTAGAATCTAGATCTAGATCTAGATCTAGATCTAGATTCTAGATCTAGATCTAGATTCTAAAACACATCGTTCCATGTTTGGGTATCCCAGGAAGTGCTGACATCACATTACTAAAATAAGCAGCCAATCAGAAAGATGCGTCTTTTCTAAGATTAACGGCATGTCAACCAACTCCACCCTTTCTTCAAAGAGAATCAGAACCATGAGAATAGGTTGGTTTAAATAGCAAAAAAAAAGTCTTTAGAATGCTCGTTCTTTGTTTCGTCTTTCAGTTTCCCTGTTACTGAACGTTTCATGTATGCCAAGTCAAGCAGTACGGTGACTCTTGTTTACAAGTCGTGTTCCGCTTTGGCTTTGGCTTTCGGCTTCTTCAGTCAAGTTCAGTTCACCGTGTGAGCTGCGACCCCTTCATTCGAAGGCGGCATTTGATATTTCAAGAATAGCATACCAAGACGCAATTGTGAGGAAATGCAAAACAAAAGCTGTATTTCACCTTTCATCATTTGCTTCTTCGTCTTCTGCATCCGCTTCAATTGCACTTGGATCAGCATCGACATCGGACATGTCGTGAAGTGAGTCGGCGTCCGCCATGATGAAGTATGATAGTGCGAACCTGCTGAGACCCTTTTCTATTGGCGTCACAGTATTATATCATTTCTGTTTTATTTGGTTATTTGAGCTTCTTAAGTATTCAAACAAAAATGCTTGTCGGTATAAAACATTTTTTGCCTCAGTTTTAGTTTATCAAAAGGTTAGAAGCGCAGTAAAAGTAAAGTGCGCATGCGTGTTATTCATAGCAACATTATTGTGTAAAAATGGCGTCCAAGCACAGCAGCAGGCAGTCGAAGGAACAATTTTTGAATCAGATGGTCAAAACTACCAGATGTAAGAATGAAACAAAGGCTACCAAGCACTTACATATATGTTTTTGTACAATACTAAGATGTGTAAAATAGTGTTAACTTGAATCAGATACTTTGGAGGCTGTTATTCATACTTTCTTTTCTCGTTTCCATGTCGGACAAACTCTGAAACTGAGCCAAACTGATTAGTTTTAGATCTAGAATCTAGATCTAGATCTAGATTTCTAGATCTAGAATCTAGATCTAGATCTAATTATAGTACAAAGTTAAGCCTAGCTAAAAACGTTTAATTCAAGACGTCAAAAATAAGTATCACACAGACAATTTGGTCGTGAATGCTTCTTTAAGATTTTCCAAATTGAGAAAAATCTACAACCTCACACAGTTTATTGTTTATTTTACCTAAAGAAGAATATGTGACGCCTATATCTTTAGTTTAGTCTTTATACTCTTTACTGCCAGAGAAATGATGGAAGAGTTGATTGCATTTACACATTCCACTGGGGTGGCAATGTTGTCTTTGATTCACAAAGTGTCTCATTTTGTATTGACACATCATGCGTTCGTGGTAGCTTTTATTTTACAACATCACGTTTTCAGCAGCTACCTAATATTATTGTTGATCCAATTGCCCTCAAAATGTAAACAAGCAAACACATTTTGAGCTTGTTTGAGACAACTTAGACCTGTACATTTGTTGGATTTTTTTGCAAGTGAGAATAAGTGAGCAATGGTGCGAGGGACAGATTGAGAAAGCCCTAGCTGTTATAGTCATAGCTGCAGCTGCTGATTTCAGGAGTTTCTGAAGGAGATGATTACAACAATTAATTACTGAGTCTGGCAGTTTGTGCAGTGACAGCAATGATAATGCGACATAAGCTGTTCTGTGTGGGTATGGAAAAAATGTTTCCTTTGTTGTATCACATCTGTTTCATAGTATTTTCTTAATCCACTACTACAGAATACATAAAATTAGACCAATTATACATACACCGGTATAAAAAATCCCATAAATGTAGGTAGCATAAACATAGCCTCGTAGCCTTCTGAACACATGGTTTCGGGGAAATGGGGGTAATTCGAATGGCTGTTTCTTTGCTCTTTCCCTACAAAAGACCAAATGCCGAACACTTTGAAAAAGTTCAGCTCCTCTGTACAATGATGTATGCTGTTTCTGTATCTGAGTATTTAGGGCTGTAGAATTGCAGTGGAAAGCAAAGCCCCTCTCGGTCGGAATGCGTGGTCTGCCGGTTTAAAAATTGACACCTATGTATTCGAATGCTTCGGGGAAAGATTGATGATTAAATACCATCTTTTTATTAACAGGGGACTATTTACCTTTAAACGGGGTTTCGCGTGGTATATTTTTGGCCCTTGGCATTTAAGCAGAAAGCCTTTAAAAATACCTTCAAAGTTTTCAAAAATCATTTTAAACACGAATTATGAAAAATACCGGCTCAAAAAAGGTACCAATAGAAAGATCAGTTCATTTTCTATTAGAATAAAGTCATCAGCCTGGAATAATTCTGTATCAATCCTTCTGCGAAACTGTGAAAATATGTGGACCCCCCCCCCCTCCCATGCGGGGAGCACTCAGCACACTACAGCAGAGCTGACTAGCTGTGTTTGAGGCAATAAAAAACTGATTTGCAATGATCTCACAGTCTTGAAAAAAATGAGGCTCCATATCTATGATTGATTGTAGGCCTACTCTGTTAATGTGTTGATGTTTGATGCACTCTTTTATTATCTGTCAAACATGGGGTTGCAGCCAGTTAGTGACTTTAGCAATATTTGATCATATACTGGCGAGCAAAAGAAAGTGGGCAGTTTTCAAATTGGTGCTGTATGAGTCGTCTCGCGAATTTTGACTTGGCGATTGACATGCTGAGCTTGAGTGACTTTAGAAAGTCAGTCAGAACAACATTTGTTTATTTTGTTGTTGTAAAAAGTGTTTACAACATGTTTGGTAAAAACTTGTTTTCTCGTTTTCTTGAAAGTTTACAATGCCTTTACTTTTATTCTTTATTCGTTACACACTTCAACGTGTGTCAGAGAAAAGGCCGTCAAAATATTTGGGTTAGTTCTTTTGAATTTATTTTAATATGATGCCTCGTCTCAGTGATGCGCAATGTCTTGAGCTCTTTTGGCATGCTGAGAGTTAATGCGACGGTTTCTTCTGTCGCTAGAGCTTTCAATGTGAAGAGAGATATGATCCAAAAGCTAAGGATACACTTCCAAGCAAGTGGTTCGGTTACTGATACTCCAAGGTCTGGTCGTCCTCGTGTCACTACTGCTGTTGAAGACAATCGGATCAGAGTTCCACACTTGCGGGATCGGTTTCAAACAGCTTCTAAAATTGCCAGAGATTTGCCTGGGCTTAGACCAATCAGCCGTTTCACCGTTCGTCGACGCTTGAAAGCCCATGGAATCGTTGCCCGACACCCAGCTCGACGCACCCATCTCCTCCAAAGACACCGTCATGCCAGACTCCACGCTAGTGGAATAGAGTGATATTTTCTGACGAGTCCAGATTTCTTTTGGATCTCCACTATGAAAGGCAGAAAGCCTACCGGAGACGTCATAAACGTTTTTTACCTCAGTGTGTCAGTGCTGTTGCTGACAAACGTAGCATTATTGTAAGGGAATCCATACCCAGTACTGCTGAATTCGACCTAGTCATTATCGACGGTAATCTGACTGCCCAGAGATACATCAATGACGTTCTCTATCCACACCTTCTGCCGTTTCTGGCTCGCCAAAGGAACAATCTCGTGATCCAGCAGGACATTGCACCAGCACACCGTGCCTCTGATACCGAGAGATTCTTACAACAAAAATGACGTACGTGTTATAACACAGTTGCCAGTATTATCCCCAGCTATAAACGTGATTGAGCACCTCTGGGACAGGAAGGACAAGGAAATTCGCACCCTTCGGCCACCCCCAACGACAATCCCACAACTGCAACAAGCATTAACGAATGCTTGGAATTATATTCTCCAGCAATTTATCCAACGACTTGTGCAATAAATGAGGCAGAGATGTACTGTAGACATCAGTTTTGGTGGGAGTTACACCCGTTACTAATTCTGGGATTTTGAACATTCGAATCGGTGTTATGAGTTTCTAATAAAAGGTGTGTTTTTGATCGTTTTTCTTAGGTTTTTTGTCTGCCCTTAATGAAAAAATGGCAAGCCTTTCAAAATCCATTGGCAATACGTCATTACTACGGTAAAGAACGGACATAATGCACAGAACGAAGGGTGCCCACTTTCTTTTGCTCGTCAGTATATTTAAAAGAGCTGCCATTTTCTTTAAAATTGACTGAGATGTAAAAGAATGATACTAAAATTCTCAGAAGACATGGGCCTTTCATATATGGAACAGATAAACTTGGCATACAGCTACTTTGAAAATTTAGTTTCTGGTACCTAATGTACTATGCATTATATTACCTTTGAAATTAAAACGAAAGTCTGAGTACTTAAAAAAATAATTTCTGGCTAAATGTAGGGGAACAAATTTTGACCAAAGAGTTATTTCTTTCATCCACACTTGGGTGGGAATTATAAATGGAGTGGCTATCATCCCGAAACCTTTAAAAGAGGAGGGAGAACTTGCTTTCCATGAATTGTGTTTTCCTACCAGGCGAAAATCCACCACTGGCCCAGGGCTTTTCCCTGACCTATTTTTACGCCCCTACCCCACCAAAGAAAAATGTCTAAACATCCAACTAAACACACACAAATCATATCATATGGCCCATCAAACTGAAGGTTATAAAATAATCTATCAGATGGTGGTACAATATTGAAGATTCGGGAACAGTTCTGAACAACAATGTTGACATAAAATTACTATTCAGCAGTTGCCAAAAACAGGTCTCTTTTAATGGGAGTTCATTCATTAGTTTAAGAACAAGTAAAATAAGTTCACTTTTTAAAATTTAATGACCAATTTAGTGACATACATCTCACCTTTAGATTCCATACCAAAAAGGACCCTGGCACAGAGGGTTTACCCCCCCCCCCCCCCTCATAGATAAAGAGTTAACTCTTTCAGTACGCAGGGGATTCTGCACTTTTCTGCATCAAGGCGCGAAGGGTGTTACCTCAAAACGGCTGTAATTCAGTCAAATATTCGTTTGTGTGAGCACTCAAACCATTCGTAATTGTACAGAAAATCGCAATCCGTGTGAAAATTGGTGTAGATCTTAGGGTTGACCTAATCGGTACCCCAAAACGTCACTTAAGTGGTGATCCGGAATCAAAGAGTTAAAGAAACTTTCTCCCTTTTATTTTGTGTACTTTTTTTCCCAAACCTCCTCATGAACACCCCCCCCCCCCCCCCCCCCCCACCTGATTTGACGTTTTTCTTTTGTGAATAGCTGGCTGAGTTTGCCCTGCTCTACTTCTAGGTGTCATGGGTAGTGAAAAACATGGAGGTCTCAAGTGACATTGCAAATATGCTAAAATTAAGACTTTGCAGTCTGAAGTTCCAGAAGAGTATACCTGCCTGACATAGCAGCTTAAACAAAACCCCAACTTAAACTGAAGAGACTGATCATTATAAACAGTTTGGGGTGCCTTATAAAAATTTAAAAATTTCATATATAATGTGGCTAAGTCTATACTGGGAAATAAAATCACCTGATAAGAAAAAAGCCACTTTCTTTTATCCTGAAATAACATGGTGCAAGCTTTATTATTGCTCGAAAATGCTGAATGTTGAAAAATTTTAATTCACTACTTTATTTCTTTACCCGACCTAGCTTGTATGTCTCCAGCTTTTTTTTTCTTACAGTCACCATCAATATACTTTTATACTGTCAATTCTTCATCCACTGAAAAGTGCTTGGGTAAAAATAACGATCTTTTGAGTAGTTATGGATTGTGAGTTGACTGTTTTTGTCTTTGCTCAGTATGTTTCTTCAGTTTTCTGAGTAAGAACTTTTGTTAATTGTTAAAAAGCATTCTCGAATAGGTCAAGAAGCTTCTTTAACACAATTCAAAGTATAACTCTTGTAACTGAAGCTTGTCTAGACATTTACATAAGTTTGTTGTGAGGAACTGGAACAATGGCTCATATTTTTGTCAATCATTATTTTCACAGTACCCAAAGAGGAAGTTAACCATCTCATGTCCAGGTTTGACAGGCTATGCAGAAAGGAAGAAGGAAAATTGCACAGGGATGAATTTCGGGACGAGCTTAACAGATCTTTCAACATTACAGATGATATCTTGATGGACAGAGGTTTGAGTTTAAATTTGTTTTTGATTTATGTCTATACTATGCTGAAATACATACTGCGGGTAAGTCATGTATGTGCACTCTCAATGATTATTTTAGTAAAAGTACATGCTGCTGTTATTGTTTCATTAAACTTAAAATAACATTTGTTTATGTCCTGTTTTCCTTTTCATTTACTCTTCCAGTTAGGCCTACTTTATAGATATTTTTGTTTGAATGGTTTTCTGTAAACTAAAATTGAGAGTGAAAATACTATGCTTGCCTGTTTTGCTCAGCATTACATTTATTGCTGATTTCTTATTGTTACTTTAAAAAGTATTTCAATTCGTGGAGTAGGCAGCTCTTGTTTTCATTTTTCACGGTTTGGAAAAGGATAGGAAACATTATTTGTAATTTAATCATCTGGAACTTTGGAGTGTATTTTTGGTGGTAGGGATAAATTACATTATTTTCATGGAATAATGACTTTACACAACAGATGTTGATCTAATTATTTCATGTGTGAACTATTTCATGTAGGTATGTATGTTTATTAGCCACATCAAAAATGTATTTATCAATTCACATCTGTTTTACCCCAGAATAAATCCTGGATATAATTTTCCATTGATTATGGTTTCAGTTTTCAGAGCTTTTGATAAAAGATCCTGTGGAACTTTACGCCAAGAGGACTATGTTTCTGGCATTGCGAAGTTTCTCAATGGTACTGTGGATGAACAAGTACAGAGTGAGTATTACAGCTATTGACTTATTTAATCCTTCATTGCTCTTTTTACATGTTTTATTCCTTCATTCTCTCTGGCTATCCTCTGCTGTCAGGTTCCAACCATTTGCACAACCTATTTTGTAAAATCTGTTCCAACAGATTATTTTCTGAATTGGTTTTTGACAATACAAATTGACTGCTCTCTGTAAGACTCCATTTTATTTCACTTTTCAATATGGTGTATGGCGGAGTCTTACGTTAAGCAACAAAAATATGTTTATGAAAAAGCCATTTTCAAAGCAGCTTGTACATTTTCCAAACATTCTATTCTTGCAGTAGATGTATTTCTTATCTTCTTGAGTGATTTTAGAGTTATAATAAAAAGAAAAGTTTAAGATGTTTATTTTATCTGTACTTATTTTGTTCATTTCAGTGGTTTTCGATGTTTATGATCTGAATAATGATGGGTACATCTCTCGAGAAGAAATGTTCCAGCTACTGAAATCTTCTTTAGTGAAGGTATAGTCACAAACCTTTGATTTTTATTATATTAAAGATAGCTAACGTGTTTAGTGAAGATGAATTTGTGGCCATTTTTCATTGCCTTTTTACATTGGCTTTGAGAGTGCTGATTATGATATCTTTCACAAATATTTTGCTCTTGTCATATGCAATTAATCTTAACCTGTAGCACTGTTAAAACTTTTAATGCACATGTGTATTGTGAAAGGTGATTTGTAGATCAAGTTATTGAACAAAAAGAAGAGAAAACTCAATGTAAACTGTTTTCTTAGTGTTTGATGGAAATCTTATTATCTTTGAAGTACTAATCAATGTTTGAGAACTTTTTTTTTCCTTTCTCTGTAAAATTTAGAGCCATCTTCTCTGAAGTCTATTCAGAATGTTTTCTTAATATATTAACTTTTAATTGTTGTCATTGTCTGAGAGACAGTACTATTTTTTCCTATGATTTTATAATAAATCCTTGTGAGGTTTCAAGTTGCCTTATTATTAAATGAAAGTAAGAGGGAAGGGAAAAGAAACCTCACATACTTTTAAAGGAAATGGAAAGACATTCAATTTTTTTTTAATGAAAGGGATTTATGATAAAGAGTTGGTTAGCATCGTATTATAAAATTTAAAGGAATCTGTTGTACTTAGAAGTCTTTGTAGTTATTTTTAAGGTGATATATGTGTATGCATATGTTAAAATTGTTTTTGTTTGACGAAAATGCAGGCACCCACTGAAGAAGATCCAGATGAGCTGGTGAAAGAGCTTGTGGAAATAGTCATGAAGAAATTGGTTAGTAAAATTTTAAAGATACCAGTTTGAATTAAAACAGCAGTCTCTGTCAAAGATCCCAGTTCTTGGGAGTTTGGAAAAAGCAGTGCAATTGGAGAACAGAAACTTAATGGTACTCGAATAGGGAGCAACCGAAGACTAGGTCAAAATAATCCCCACTTCACTACCCTAGAATTTCAAAGTTCTATAATCTGCTCAATACCTAGTTTTGAGAAATTTGACATAAAAAATTTTAAGTTTCACAACATGTCAAGCTTCTTCAAATGCAGTCCTTTGAATATCTTGATAACAACTCCAAATAATATTACGATTCTAATAGAACAGATAGAACATTTGGTTTCTGACCTCTAAACATAGTAGCTCAAAATGGCCGAAAATGTCAGATAGAACTTTGTGACCTGTTAACAGGAGCGACCCTAATGAAATCTGTTGAGAGGGTTTAAGAGACTTCCATCTGGTTAATCAGTGATTTGATTTGAACATTCTGTAATTTTTAACTTCTCGATGTTGAAAATTTATGCTCATTCTCTCCCACCACCCCTCTAAAACAGTTTTATAGATATAAATTCATCGTATGATATTTATCTTTTGGTCTCTCAGGACAATGATCACGATGGTAGGGTATCCCTTCCTGATTTTCGTGCAGCTGTTGCAGAAGAAAAACTTTTACTGGAAGCCCTTGGCAAATGCCTACCTGATGAAAAGGTATGAGATTGCCTTTCTAAGTGAACATTTGTAGTCTCCTTTAAGATGGTTTCATAATCTACTGTACTTGATATTATCATTATTTAATTTTGATGTTCTTCTCAGTAATGTATGTTATCAAGATATTAATAAATTTCTCCTTTACATTTTTATAGTTTCCCTTGAAATGTAACAGTGTATATGTTTTCAACATAATATTATGCAGTATTGTGAAGATAAGTTGATAATTTGTTCCTTTAATTGGCATCTACTCTTCTCTTTCTCCGTTATGATCTCCACTTTTTACTTCAGAGAATGGGTACTTAGTTTGTGTCTATATTGTCATTTAATTCTTGAAATTTCGCACTGACTGTATGTCCTCCTTACAAACCAAATAAAAAGATGGATTGGGCAATAAGAAAGTCTTCCACACTGAAGTAGAAAACAACACTATTGTGTGGCTTATACTATACAGCAGTGAATCCCCAGAGTGTGGAGATATACCAGGTATAAGTAAACCAGGCAGAACTGTTTCAAAAGGCTCAGCACTGACTGGTAGGTACCAGCCAAACGAACAAAAACAAGACTGTCAAAAACTTTGTAATTTTAACCCTATCCATACGTCATGTTTTACTATCGTATTCTTACGACATGGCGAATTCTGTGCCACCACTTTCCAAAAAGGAAATTTACTGGTTAATCCAATCCGTACACTTTGCATAGCATTCTGTCAAAATGATTTTTTGAGAAACACTGAAAGTTTCAAAGAGATCTTCGCACTAGAAGAAGTATTCTAAAATGTGAAGAATACTACCCCTGGGATACAAAATGACCCCAGGTATACGGATAGGGTTAAGAAAGTTACCTTGACAAAATGGGTGATAATAAGATATAATAAATAGATACATTTTCATTGATCCTCATAGGGCAATTTGGGTTACAATGGCAGCAAACAAGCATACATAAATACATAATTATAAATGCATCATAAATACACAACATTACACCAATACAGAAAAATTACACAAACATGCCATTGCAGGGGGCCACTGTGCAACATCTTGGTTTTTAAGCTAGGATTGATGTTTGTTGCTCAGGACACACCCCCAGTAACCACCCACTTAAACCCTGTATCACTGACACTTGCTTGACATTCCTTTTTAGTCTAAATTCGCTACTCACCTAGCCACCGGAGCCCTCAGTGATCATAAAATTGGTGAAGGGACCAAATGGCAGGCGTGTCTAAGACCATAAGAACTGGGCAAACCCTCAATACAACAAAAAGACTTTCAATAGAAAAGACCTGACTGTTAATTTTGGCCTCCAAGGTAGTGCATACCTCTTTGATATCACCTGAACAGGATAAATCATGAGAACCAACTTCTGTACCTACTTTATGCCCATTTTTTCGAAAGTGTCAAACATCTATTCTCCCAGTGTCCCAACTGCAGGATCTCAGTAATAATTTTTTCCTCCCGACACCCATCATATCAACAACTTTAAAAGGCTATCACACTCAACAACATGATTTTGAGCCTAAGGATAGGAGCCGAAATATGGTGCTCAAGTAGTGACAACATATTTTGTACTTCTTTTTAGATATCATCAGTATTAGAGATATACTTCTTAATATTTAGTGTACACCAGGTTTTTATAATTCGCAATATGAAAAGCCTAGTGTCATATATATTCCAACGCAGTAGCGCCCTTTTCAACATTTCACAAAGTACTTGATTAATGATTGAGAAATTGTGAATTCTAGTAGTGCACAAAAAACAACAACCCAGGTATACAGTGTTGGTAGTGCATTAAGTTGCAGGTTATCTCATACTTGGTGACTTGATTCCAGAACTGGGGCGTTCAGAGATGGATTCTATCCATAACTTCTTACCCCTCATCAGCAGATCAATCTCAAACTTGACGTACTGATGGTATCCATCAGTAACTGATGGCTAGTTCATCTGCAAGTGTTACACAGGTTGCTGAGTTTCCCCTGCCTTGGCTGTATTCATTTCCTTTTCAGTATCTCTATTGTTTTACTATTGTCTTCCCTCGTGATCCCTTTATTCCAGCACTTCCTACCAGTTGATCTGCTGGCTCATTCCCTCTCATACCTGCATGCCCAGTACAGAAGATCAAAGTCATTGCTGACAGATTACTTGCTGAGCTAATCAGCATAAAGGAACCTACATTTCACTTTCTCAAGTGTGCTCATTGAGTCAGTCAGAATTGTGACCGACTGATATGTGCAGTTGCCTATCCATCAAAGAACCTCTGCGATAGCTTTGACTTCCATGCACATACTAGAAGTTGTGCGCACTGTCCATGAACTAGAGCCATGAAAATCCAACCTGACTTGATACCACAACGAACAGAGCCGTCCGTAAAAATTATGGTTTCATCCGGTCTGCAGTTGTCCTCCATGAGAGCCTAAATCTCTGCATGCATTGCTCCTTCTGGCCACACACGGTATTCATGTCCCAGAGTGGCAATGACCTTAGTGTACATCTCCGCCTCATCCACAGCCCTGACCCAGGTACTGCCTCCTCTGATCACCTCCACAGAACGGCATTCACCAATGACCTGCACAGCTTGCGACATTCAATCTGTTCCAGATTTCAATGCAGGACTTGGTCTTTCTGACCATCTTGTCGTGCAAAGGATTTTGTGGATCTGAGCACATTCTTAAAAAGACCCTAACCCCTCTTTCATACTCAACCGAAGGGTAAGGGAATCTTTTTCTGCCTGTTCATATTTCATTGAACATTTCCTGTTGTTTCAGTCATTTTCCCTAGTGTAAAGAATTAAATTCAGTGCCTGTTTTTCTTCTCATAAACATGTTGTGCATATGCCTTATGTATCATAATGTGAATGATGTGTTGTTTATAACCCGTTTATTTTCTCCTGCAGTGCAAAATGACATTTCAAGAAATGATCAGAATGTTTGGATCAGGAACCTACTGCCCTTCATCCAGTGTCAATATAAGCCAACAAAAAGAACAGAGAAGGCAAACTAGAAGTGGGCAAAAAGCAGCCTGAACCTCACATGTGCTGTGTAAAACACAATTTTAAAAATGTTTCTGTGTCGCATACATTTACTGTGTTTCTCAATCAATGTGATAAGGAGTAGGTCAAGATAAGGCTATGAGATTTTCATGCCCATGAGATTCATAGGTGTCTAGATGTACATAACATAAACTTGGGTATCCGTATATTATGGGTTCTGGCACTTTATAATGTACATGTTTAATCCAATATGTTTGAAAAACGTATGTGCTGGAGAGTAATGTTTTACGCCAAATGCTCAGCCATATATCTCGTCGGTGATGATGCTTTACATTTATAGAAAGATGCGTATACTTTTACTACAGCCTTTCAGATGTGCATTGTAAATTATTTCCACAAAAGTCCAAATAAATTATCCTTTTTCATTGCTAGCTTTTTTTTTTAAACGTAGGCTAATTGAGATATTGTTCTCTTTCTATTTTCTTTTTTTTTAAGAAAAAAATTCATGTCATTAGCTTTACTTTTGTCTTTAAGCATGAGCAAGTTTGTGTTCTGCTTTACTCTCTATCAAAATAAGTATGTTTGGGCTCATTAAGACAATATTATAATGGTGCCATTCATTTAGAATTGTTCTTGTGAAACTTTGCAAATCTGGTTTTTTCTCAGACTATGCTTTTAGTTTCTTTTTTTTTTCCAATTTGCACTGTACTTACATACCTTTTTTGTTTTATCTGGTTTTGTACAGTTTTCCCTCCTCCCCTCCAAACTCTGAATTTTTATGAAAAGATAGGTTTATTGAGAGTTTAAAAAATAATGGCGAAATTCAATGTTGCATAAAGACTGTTTATTTTTTTAATGAAAACTACTTATTTGCTGAGGGGACAAATTTTCTAGTTTGTAGAATTTAGTGGAATTTTCATGAGAGAAATAGGATTATGTTTTATCCAGGTTGATTCATTTTGGAAAATATTAAATGGTACAATACTTTTTCTGGTGAGGGAAGAAACTAATTATGTGAACAAAATTAATATTTTGCAGTTTCAAAAGTATTTTGCAAGAAAATAGATATTGTAATCGTCTAACAGAATGTGCAATTGAAAATGTTCATGTTAGCATGTTGTTTTTTAAAATCCTTCTGACATTGCAGATTAACGTATAAATTAAATAATAAAAATGATGTTTTATTCTACAGTCTTTATGAATATTATATTACATATACAATACCTTGGTAAATGTTAAATGTTTTTAACAAGTTTTCTTCTTTTCCGCTGTAATCAATTATTTGTAAGGATGCACAAGTGGTGAATGGTTTTTCTGAATTTCTCTGCTTATTTATATAATCAGCACATCATTGATCTGTCAGTTTTTGCTAAACCTGTGAAGGTGCTATACTTACAGGCTTTGAAAAGCTCATTTTCATTACGCAATGAGTCTTACGAATTGTTTCCTTTATTTTTACATCTGTAAATTGTTTGTTTTCACCATTTTGCAATTATTGGGCCAAAATATCTTCCTGTGATATGGAATATCATAATTTAAAAGGATCGAAATTCACTGCCAGTTAGAGCAGTGAATTTGTACAACAGGCCTTACTTTATACAAAAGAAACACATGCATTTTATACTGCAATTTTAACCTTTGGTGTGCATACTGTTGGTGACTTCAAAATACATATTTTACTGCAAGTGGATGCAAACTTTCAACAACAAAATATTGTGAGATAATCTTCTCCCATCTAAAAAATATTTTAACAAGATTTTAAGTCATATTGCTTGACATTTGGCTTACACAGATCAAATCAAATGATTGAACTCTTTTAGTTTGTGACCTTTTTCACATGCATGATATTGAAATCACATTAAAGTTGCAGGAATCTCATGAACTGAGAGGCAGAGCCTCAAAGACATTGAGAAATCTCAAGTTGAAAATATTCAAATACAGGATGTCAGTACAAAAATTATATGAAATTAGTTATTGGACTGACTGTTTTAGTTTTGAATATATTTGAAGTCTACGTTTACACATAAAATGCTGTAACCCAAAAGTTTCAAATGAAACAGTGTGAAAAAGAATTTGTTTCCCATTTTCCTTCAACAGCTGGAAAAATTGTAAAACATTGTTGCATTAAACAGTGCTTTTTCTCCTTCATCATTATAAATGGCTGAAATAAACTTTTAAAAACAAATATTTTTTTCTCTTATTAGAGCTTTACTTTTTAGAATGTACACATTCAGGAGTAAAACTGAGTGATATCATGAATGGTGGCGTGATGGAGTTTCTATTAGTTCTAATTGTGACATGGTATCATTCATGATTTTATTACACAATCCATTGTATGTGAGCAAAAGGACCTTGAGGAGGGCTTGAACTCAAGGATAAAAATTGTATCAAGTTATAAAGTCTGTATGCTTTGAAAAGAGTTTGTTCCATAATTTTTTGGGGGCTCCACTGTTTATATTTTAACATATTTTAGTCATATTTGCGAATCTCCTCCTTTAGTTAACTCGAGTCTAATATTCTATTTGACAGTAAGTAACAACACTGTTTTAAAGGTGACTTGCACTGTGATTCTGCATCAAGCAGCTTATGTACTGGGATGAGAGGAATCATCTTGGTGAGGATACAAAGAAAAATGACTCAGGATTGAATCTCAGTTTTTTGTACTCATGCATACAGTTGAACCTGCTCAAATGGCCATCTGTCCTAGACAATCACCTGCACAAACAAAAACCACTTTCCAACCCCAACCCCCCC